AGAGACTTAGTTCCTATTCCCCCTACCCCCCCCCCCCCTTAAATCCATCCATCCTGGCGTTCCTCTCCTAGCTAGCTGTAGAAGTTTGGCATTGACTCATATCTCGTATATTAACAAAAAAATAAAAATATAGGAGGGAAGCATAGACGTATAACCTCCGATTCTAATGGTGTAACCACTTACACTTGCTGGCTACCTTGCCAATAAGGATTATTTTATAAATCAACCAAAGTGCTAGTAGAGGTGGGTTAGTAGGATAGATAATTACCATACCCCTAAGATAGGAGGACGTACTCCTCTATTTACAATTGGTCCTATTAAAGTAAATGAGGGAGACTCCTCCCTTACATCACAATATTATATATATACTAGCTAAGGAACATCAAAAGTGTACATTGGTTCTTCTAATACAATGTAAGAAAGAGTATGATTGTTCTTCATAGGAGCTATAACATTTTTGTACAAGAAAATAGCCATAATGAAGAAATACAGAATGTAAGTACTCAAAAAAGAACACATAAACCTACACAATTTTATCTTTGTCAACGATTTGAAGGATCACGGTACAACTATTACTTGATCAATGTACAGTTAATTTAACTATTAGTGGTAGTTTATTTGTAACAATAATTACTAGGTCGGTGTAACACTCCGTAAATTCGAGCTGGTTGTGGACGTGTTAAATGAGTATTAATGTGACATCATAGACATATGAAGTCCATCAGGATGAGTATGAGTGGAAATAGTTGTTTTAGAATCAGGATGGAGAGTGAGGTGCATAAGATTCGATAAAATCGACTAAGTTTATGAAAGGTCTGTCTTCTAGCAGGATTTCATGCACATTTGCTGGGAATTTGGGAAAACATAAAATATGGAAGTTGTTGCCCTTTAAAATATCTTTCCAATGATATATTATGAGGCCCAAACAGACCTTTGTGCAAACAGTTATATGTGTTCTACTGGACAATGCACAGTCTGCACGCTCATGTGCGCGCCCAACTATTCCCGTGCGCGGCCGTGCACTTGTGTGGCGCTACCACTGCCTTTTATGCGTGTTCAAGTGCATGGTTGGGCCTTTAGCTGGGCGTACCCAGGAAGCCATTTTATAAGCCCTACTTCGTCCCCACTCCCCAAAATACAAAAACTTGCTCTAGAAAGGGAAGCTCTCAAGAACGCAACTTCCTCCAAGGTCCCTCCATTATCCAAGGTAAGTTCTAATGGTGATTCTAAGATAATTTCAGTTGTTCAACACCTTATTAATATAGGTAAACCCTCCAAATCATTAGATATTTAAATAAGGCATCATTGTTGAGAAAAGAAACCCTAGAACTCGAATTCAAGAGGATTGAACGTCAAAGAGGTAATATCTTCACTCTCTAATTGATTATATCATTGGATTAACGATTGTTGGACTTTAAATGCATGAGATATGAGTTTATGGGTTTGATGAAAAAGCATGAACGATTATACATTTGGGTTGTTGATTGTTGATTATTTATTAAGGGTGTCGTTTATCTTATGGGTAGCGAAGAATGCTATTGATTATAACAAATTGGGATTTTAGAATCTATCTATGAGCAAGAGAATGAGTTGTTGGCGTAGAAACACCATTAATAAGGGATATGAAGATTTATGCCCACCAAGTATTTGATAAAATATCTAAGTGACTAAAACATGAGTATTAGTGCTAATATTGGTTCCTCTTGATATATATTGCCATAGATTATCGTTGAAAGAGGCGACGAGTAACATTGTGATACACCTAAAAAAGCCAGAGTCAAGGTATGTGAGACTAACTCTCTATATTTGGGAATGTCAATGATTCTCCCTACACTACGTTTCTTATACAATATTACTAATTGCCTTAGAAATATAGTTAAGCTTAGTTCCTTGAATAGTTGAGAACTTCTATTCTCTAGCTTCGTAATTTGTTCACGACTTTCATTCTGAACGTTGTGAGATCAGTGCGTAATCAGGTTTAATGCCCATGAGTCTCTATCTAGATTACTTAGCATGTCATAAAAAGATGAAGTTTCAGTTTTCATAATAGTTCATGAATACATGTCGCAATTTATTCCTATTCAGCATTCCGGTATCATGTAACTCTGTAGTAACTCTGTATCACGTATTGCAGTATGATTCTCAGTTCCTAAATTTAAATTTCTGAATATTGAACACATGTATGTCACGACCCAAAATTCAACTATTCGTGATGGCACCTAACATCACCTGCTAGGTAAGTCAAATAATAACAATTCAATACCAATGAGGTTTACTGAGAGAGATAAAGATAATATAACACACACTTCTCAAGGACTAGTAGTACAAATCATGAGCTTCTAAGATTTAGAATTTACAAAGCTGGTATGAAATAAAATATATCATCTGTTTGAAATATACATGAACAGATTAAAAATTCTAAAGCTACCAATAACAAGAGGCAGTTATGAACGGATCACAGGTACATCTTTAATGCTAGCTCCCGTCATACACAGCAACATCAACACCCGAAATCTGCACGCAAGGTGCAGAAGTGTACTATGAGTACAACCGACCACATGTACTCAATAAGTACCAAACCTAACCTTAGGTTGAAAGTAGTGACGAGCTAGGACAAAGGTCAGAGTCCAACACCAATAACCAGTAACAGTTCATAACAATATAATGAAAGTAACACAAGTAATAACTCAACGATAAAATACCCAACTCGTTAACAGTTCCATAAAATAGACATTTGCTTTTCAAGTATAACAGTAAAACTCAAATCTTTTGCCGAAATCACCGAAATGTGAGAAATTTTGAAAACTATAATTTTTTCCAAAAACTTTCTTCCACAATAAGAAATTTCATTATCAAATAGCATGAGAAAAGTACATCTCTATGCCGACATGTCAATGTGCATGCCAATGCAATGCAACATAGTGATAAAATCATATACATGCTCTTTGAGTAGAAATTTCACTCAGCACACTCAATCACTTAATCCTCCCAATCACCCAGCCCTCTCAATCACTCATTCCTCACAATCACTCATTCCTCACAGTCACTGTGGGTGTGCAGACTCTGAAGGGGCAGATCCATCCCAGGCACTATAATAAGCCAATCATGGCATGAATCAATATAACATGCTGTGGCTTGCAACCCGATACCATAAATATCCTCATAATCAGGCCCTTGGCCTCACTCAGTCATCAATCTCTCCAGTCTCCTGGGCTCAAAAATGTCGTGAAAATTAGCCCAAAAATGATGATATAATATATCAATGAATAGCAATAGAAACTGAGATATGATATGAAATGTATGAACATGACTGAGTATGCAATTACAATTTAAGCATACAACCCAATGGCAGAAATGACCTCAATGGGTCCCAATAATACCAGCATACGCCTAAGCATGATTTCCAACATGAGTCACAACTCAGTTTCTCTAACACATAGCACATACATGGAAAAATAACAAGTCATTTGACGACACAATTCCACGGAATCAATTGAGTCATAATTTCTATGATGCACGCCCACACGCCCGTCATCTAGCATGTGCGTCACCTCCAAACCGATCACATAACACGTATAATCAGGGGTTCATACCCTCAACACAAAGTTTAGAAGTGCAACTTACCTCGAACAGCTCGAATCCAATGCCGAGCAAGCTAAACAATACTCCAAAAATGCCATTCCCTGCGTATCAACCTCCGAACGCCTTCCTATCTCCTCAATTCAAAGGAAAATGATAAAAAAGTCGAACAACGTGCAATTTAATCAAAATATACTCCAATGCTTACAATTTAACAATTTATAACATTTTCGACTCCGCTCGGAAAGTCAACCAAAAGTCAATAGTGGGGCCTACGCCTCGGAATCCGACGAAACTCACAAAATCCGACAACCCGTCAAATTTCGAGTCCAACTGTATACGGTAAAAACCAGAGGGCTCGATTTTGTGATCACTAGGGCGCCTAAAAAAAGACCACCCTCGGGAGGCTCGAAGTCTAGCTCGGAGTTCGCCCCCGAGGGTTTGCGATGATCGACCTCGAGGTAGTGCAAACCAACGGCTGCGGCGCACCAGCGGGAAGTTCCCAAGGCATATGATCAAAACCAACAAAGCCTGCAAGGGAAACACTAGTTTGTACCAGACTAGTAAGTAGTTGTTCCAGCTATGTTTCTTTGTAATAATTACTCATGTACTATGATGGGATTTCCCTCCTTATATAAAGGGGGATCCTTGTCATTTTGCAGAGCCATCTCATAGACAAGATACAATACACTACATTCAATACAAGAATATTCTCTGCTCTCTGACTCAAACATACTCTCTATTTGGCTCTATTTCTTACATTTATTGCTTTATTTACATTTATTATATCTCATTAATTGTTCTTCATTTATTGCTTGTTATTGGTCATAAAGAGCTGCAATCACAACCCTAATAGCTGTTAATCCTTCATCGATTGACCCT